AGTTTATTCTTATATAATTTTACAGAAATTTTCTTTATTAGACTCAGAATTGAATAAACTCAAAATTTTGTGATGGTTTGGATTTTTTTTAGACACCTCCTTGTGAAATCATTACTCTTTGTTGATGGGTGTTGAGTACACTGATCAAATAATTTATTTCTATGTAAAAATTGACATAAAAAACAATAATAAATTAATAAAGAATGAATAAATGGAAGCTAAGATAATTCTACAATATAATCTAGCTAGTAATCAGAATGTTAGTATTTAATCATCAATAGAGTGATTATTGTTCTATTCCTTCACTGTCCCGATCGAGTTGTGGCCGGGGTTGCTCGACGGCGGATTAACCGGCCGCCATTTCAGGGAACGAAGCAACCCAGCAGCAAAGTTCTTTGCTCCGGCAAGAGCGGAGTTGGTGCCGGGGTTGGGCGTCGGAGGGGTCACCGGCTTCCACAGAGACGGTAACAAACATGTTTCCTTAAACTTCCCGGCTTCTTCCCGCCGAGAGCAGCCGAGTTAACGGCGCCGTTGGTGCCGGGATTTCCGCCCGGAGGGGAAACCGGCTTCCACTGCAGAGATGGCAACAAAAGATAATGTTTCTTCTTCATCCACGCCGGTTCACCGTCGTCACGAGGGACCGATCTACAGGCTTCGTGAGGTTTAATGGTGAGTAGAAGAAGTACAGAAACAAAAGCTAAAACAGTACTAGGTTGACGTGTCATTGTGTCTTCGATCTTGTCTGATGGTTTTAATGAATTATGACAAATTAAAGAATGTTTAGGATGATTGATGAGAGGGTTGAGATGAAGGTGGTGATGATAAAATGGGAAGAGGATTAGGCATATATATACGCAGCTTCAAACCACGAACTGAAGCATATAGGCTGACCTTCTTCAGTTTGACTGGGAATGTTTAATAAGAAGTTGAACAAGTCATCAACTCGTTAAGCAAGAAAAGTTTACGGTATGAAACAAACAAAATGAGAGAAAAAAAAAGTGTTGAATAATCTGCACATGTGACTGGTTGGCCCAAACAATTTGCTCAAAATATAGTATTGTGTAGTGAGAACTAAAAGAAGGGAAAAGTCCACTTATAATTCATATATATAATTTAAAAATTAAGCTTGTAACTAGCATAATTGATAAAAGGCGTGAAAAAACACAAACTTAGCTTTAAGCCTTAGCTTGGGTAGTAATTAATTATATTCAAGAGTAAATACCACCTATGGTCCCTCGAGTTTGGTGGCATCGCCATCAATGGTCCCTAACTTTCGTAATTACCGGGCGTCATCCTCCGAGTTGCGAAAAGTGGCCTTCAAGGGTCCTACCGTTAGTTGTTCCCGTCTGAGACGTCAAAATGGAGGGCAAGAGAGTCACTTGACATTATGCGAACGTTTTAATGCATTTTACATTTATTTGGAGAAAAAAACATCCATCGATCAATTGATTCCCAAATTTCCAACTCTCAAACCCTAAACGCTATCTCAGGCGAATGTAGTGGCAATTGCGAAGCAAAAAGTTGCGGATTCTTCATCGACGAAGTAGCAATTTCAAGGTCAGAATTCAAGGCGAGAATAGGGCACATTTCAACGACGTCATGGGTTCTCCACAACGGCAGTCAAATGGTATGTGAACTAAGTAGGGAGTTCTTTGTGTTACGGAAACCTCGTATTGGTTGTTGTTGTTACAAATTTGAGTATGTGAACTGCATTCGTTTAAAGTATAGTATTGGGCTTTGTTTATGGGAACATGTGGGCCCTGTCTAGGTGGTGGGAGACTATGAACTACATATTTTGTTTAAAGTAGAGTTTTTGTGTTTTTTTTTTTTTTTTTTTTTTTTTTTTTTGGTTATTTATGTTGAAAGCACATATGTTGGCTTGAAATTGGGGCCCATAGAGGGTTGAAAGCACATGGTAGTGTGTCTTTTTGTTCTGTAACTAATTCTGGATGGGTTGGCTTGAAATTGGGGACCACAGAGGGTTGAAAGCACATATGTTGTGGCTGGGTTAAAAGTTAAATTGTGTATTGCCTTTATGTGTATTATATTCTGTCTAGGGACCACTTTGCTTGGGATAGTAAACCATTTGAAATTCACATTTCTGCCTGCTTATATAATAGTGTGTAATGAGCCTATTTGTGGCTACTTTGCTGTACAGGTAATGTTCCTGGTGGTGGTTTTGTTTTGAATTTAAGGCATGGTGGTAGGATAAATAAAACTCATAAAGCAAGTTATGTTGGAGGGCAGACTAGTAGTTTCTCTAACATTGATGTGAATGAGTGGGGATTGTTCACACTTAGCGATAAGGTTAAGTGTTTGGGTTATGAAATAATAGATAGCATGAAGATGTTTGTGAATCTATCAAATGGGTTGATAGAGATAGTTTCAGATTGTGAAGTATGGGATTTAGTCAAAGAAATAGAGGTGCATAATGAAATAGAGATTTGAGTTGTACATGAGGATGATGAGGATGCTGAGTGTGCTGAAAGTGATGAGGGTGCTTATCGTGTTGAGGGTGTTGAGGATGCTAAGGGTGTTGATGATGCCGATCCTGAAAGTGATTGTGAATGGGAAAGTGAGGAGAATGCTGATTCTTATCAAAGTTCTGTGGATTTAGATGACATAGAGTTTGAGCAATTTGTTGATCAAACTGCTGAGTTTGGTGGGTTAGATGATGCTGGAACTGCTTTGGCAGTTCAAGTTAATGAAGATTTGGAGATAAAGTTTTCAGATGATGGCAGTGAGAAAGACAGTGATAATGAAGAGGAAAAAGAATATCAACTGCCAATGTTTAAAGGGAAAATTGAGATGGCAACACCTACATTCTGTCTTGGATTAATATTTGGTTCTAAGACAGAATTTAAGGAGGCAATTTATAATTATGCAATGAATAAAGGAAAGGAAATTCTGTACATCAAAAATTATAAGGTTAGGTGCATTGTTGAGTGCAATGAAACTGAATGTCCTTGGAGGATTACACTAAGGAAATAAGCATCAGAAAATGACTGGAGGATTACAGCAATCAATGACAAGCATGATGGCTGTTGTTGGAATAACATAAACTACATGGCTAACTCATGAACTACAATTGCAAAAAGGTGGAAGAATGAGGTTGCATCAAACTCCAACTGGACAGCATCTGAATTCCTTAAAAAGGTGTCAACTACTGATGGAGTCTCAATATCGAGAAGGCAAACATGGATGGCAATGAGGAAAGTAAGGGCTGCCATTTATGGTGAAGAAGAAAATTTCTTTAATAAACTATGGAGTTACTGCTTGGAGATTGACATGACTAATCCAGGTAGCAAATACCATATGAAGTTGGGTGATAAACTAGATGATGGCAATAGAAGGTTCAAAAGATTTTACATGTGCTGGGAAGCATGTAAAATAGGCTATAAGTACTGTAGGCTTATTATTGGAGTGGATGGGTGTCATTTGAAGGGATTGCATGGGGGTCAGTTGCTATTAACTATTGGAGTGGATGGAAATGATAGTGTGTTTCCTCTTGCGTATGCACATGTTGAAGGGGAGAATAAGGAAGTTGGATTTGATTTTTACAACATCTTAAGTCAGATCTTGCAATAACTCCAGCTGATGAACTGGAATTAACATTTATTTCAGGTATGTGAACTGGAATTAACATTCATATCTTATAGTTTTAAAAGCTTACCATTTGTTTTGCATTCATTTATTTCTAAGTGTTTACCTAACTGTTTGGCAGATAAGCAAAAGGGTTTACTCCCTGCATTTGATGAAGTTCTTCCAGCTGTGACTCACAGATTCTGTGTGAGACATTTACATGGGAACATGAAACTAGCTGGCTTCACTGGAAAGGAAATTAAAGATGGATTATAGGATGCTGCTAGGGCCACAACAGTTAACACCTTCACAGCTGCAATGAAGAAGATGAAGACCATTGACTCTAAGGCATATGAATGGGTAGTTGAAAAACACCCTTCAGAGTGGTGCAGGTCACATTTTAATACAAATGCACATTGTGATATCTTGGTCAATAACATTTGTGAGTGTTATAATTATGTTATTTTAGATTCTAGGGAGAAGCCTTTAATAAGCTGCATTGAAACATTGAGGAAGAAAATTATGCATAGGTTGTATCAGTGTAGGAAAGAGGCATGGAAATGGACTGGCCGTATATGCCCTAGGATTACGAAGAAAATAGCTCAGTATGAAAAACAAGCCAATGGGTATACAGTCATACAGAGTGATGGTCCCATCGACATAGCCAAGCAAGTCCTGACTCCGGAGGAAGGGGAGCAGTTGCGTATGCCAGAAGAGGAAGTTGCGGAACGTAAGCTTCATAGACACAAAATGGTGCGCCCTGGCTAGAGTATTGGCGCCGACCGGTGATGGAGTTCCGGCAGCCGACACTGTACGTTCCGAGGAGTTAGAAGACATTTTGGCCGTAAGGTCGCGGTTAGAGGGGGTAGATTGATGGTGGAGATGGATTCGACACCTGACTGATACCAGATGAGAGATGTGAATCGTAAATTGAATAGCCAATAGAATAGGTGTTACAAGCATATAAGAAATAGACTCCTAACTAACGCTCAGTAAAGTCTAAACCAACTACACTATTCTATAACAACATTTGACTAATACAATTGTAACATAATAATAATAAAAATAATATTACTAACAATGACAACTTGTTTGAGACACGTGGGATGATTTATAGTGAATTTGAGCAGCATGAAGTAGACTTGGGTAGAATGACATGTACTTGTAGGAGTTGGGACTTGATTGGTATTCCTTGTAGACATGCTATAAGTGTCATTTGGATGAAGCATGGTAATAAGGGTCCAGTGAATGACTATGTCCACCAGTGTTATTTCACACAAACATACTTGAGGTCTTATGGAGGAAGCATCAAGCCTATGGCAGGTCCTACTGAGTGGCCTGAAACTGATAGAAAGCCACTTCTTCCACCTGTATACACTGCCAAGCCAGGAAGACCCAAAAAAGCAAGATAGAAGGGAATGGATGAGAAGGCAGGATATGAGGTCTCCAATGATGGTATCCTTTTGAAAAGGAGCCATGTGAAGATGCATTGTACCAAATGCAAGAAGGAAGGCCACAACAAAAGAAAATGCCCTGAAGATCCTGCTGTTAGGGAGAGATTGGTAAGTGTTATGGCTTTCAATTTTCTTATAGCTTATAACCTGTTTTAAATTTTCTTATATCTTAAATTTAGTTATGATCTAACTGTGATATTTCTGTCATAGGCCAATCCAAAGAAAAGAGTTAGGGTAAAGGTTAAGAAACCTACAAACACTGAAGCTACACAGTCTGAAACTGCACAACAAACAAGGCAAATGGTGGTTCCTACACTGCCTGATGCAACACTTGAAGATGAAGATGATAATTGGTTGGCAAACATTGATATTGATGCAGTGGTGTCTCAAGTGCTTCAAAACCAAACATTGCAACTACAAGTGAATGCTGAGGAAATACCAATTACTAGTCAGCCACTAACTCTTGGAGAAGAAGAAGATAGCCAACAAGTGAGTCAACCAACAAAGAAGAAGCTGCAAGCCAATGCAAGTCAAGGAAGGAAATATAACACTCGTGGCAAGATGAAATCAAAATTCAAAAACACAAGTGATGATCCTATAAGCATTGATTAACAGTACTGTTTAAGTTATGTTGTTTAAGTTATGTTTTTTTGGTAGCCAAAACTGCTGGATCAGTTAGACAGGACAGTTGTATGTTACTCTTTTTTGTATAGCAGTAACTTTGGCAGTTAAGTCTTATTTTGGCACAATTGTATGTTACTTTGGCACAAATGAAATGGTTGCTCAATTGGCTTTTATTGTCCTATTGTGCTTAAGTTATTGTTAAGGTTTCTTGACTAAACACACTCCAAACACACTTCAATACCATTGTGCTTACCTATACAGACAACAAAGACAATACAATAACATGGTGCTTAACTAAACAGACTTCAAACACATTTCATTAAATGGTCCAAATCAGGTTACAACATTAATTGCCTGGAAGCATTTTGACAACTGCCATTGATTGAGAACTACATTTGCTAAACACATGAACTACGAATCCAATTGCAAAGATGATTACAATTGCGAATTTGCAACATTTATATTTCATAGACATGACTACATTTGTCTTAGTAGCAACTTCTAGCATAGCCTTTAACTTCTCCATCTCTTCTTTATCTCTATTTATCCTCTTCAAAAGTCCGGGTATTATACTAATTGCCCGTGAACATATTGGAAGATCTGCCCAATCAAAGAAACCACAACCATTGCCTCCTTAAAACCACAAAATACAAAAAAAAAAAAAAAAAAAAAAAAAAAAAAAAAAAACAAAACAAAACAAAATTGAATTTATAAAATTCAAATATGGAAAAATGAAACTGAATTCAAAAATTTATAAATTCGATATTACAAATTCTAAGATTACCTGACCGGATTCAAAGCATTGCCAAAACCTCCTACCCGGATTGCAATCTGTCCAAGACATTCGAAGCACCACTTGATTCCCGCACTGACACTCATGACTGTGTATGGAATCTCCAAAATTATATCTCCTCCTTGAAGTACATGAAGAAGATGACATTGTTGCTCATGAAATTACTTGAAGAAGATGAAGAAGATTAGGGTTCGGTCGTTCGGCTTATGAGAGCTTGGAAATAGATGAGAGCTCGGTTAAATAAATGTAAAATGCATTAAAACGTTCGCATAATGTCAAGTGACTCTTTTGCCCTCCATTTTGACGTCTCAGACGGGAACAACTAACGGTAGGACCCTTGAAGGCCACTTTTCGCAACTCGGAGGATGACGCCCGGTAATTACGAAAGTTAGGGACCATTGATGGCGATGCCACCAAACTCGAGGGACCATAGGTGGTATTTACTCTTATATTCAAATCTTTACAATTTTGAAACACAAATTTTGCATTTGGTGACAATTGTACCTTATTATAGAATATATTTTCATACATATGGGGTATTTGGTAAATAGTTGTTGGCCGATAGCGGTTAGCTAATTGAGTTACTAGGTTCGATTAGTTGATAGTATTAATTGATTGTAAAAGGATGTTTGGTAAAGTAGCTATTAGCTCATAGATGATTATATGTAAAATGATTTTTTCAAAAATTAATCCAAAGAGCTACTTTGAGCAACTTTTTGAATTTTAATCTTTTGAAGCAATAAGCTGTTATAAAAAGCTAATTAACCAAACACTTATATTAATTTTTAACAAGTCAAACAACTTTATTGTAGTGATAATTATTATTATTTAAATGAGATTGATTGGTAAGTAGCCCCTTACAAAGGGCTTTTTTGTTGTGACTTGTGACTTGTGAGTTTGGGACTTATTTGATTATATCATATTATAAAATATTTTTTTATAGGAACTTTAAAACATTATGCATTGGAGAATGTTGCATGCATGCAATACGCAAATACGTATACATACTATGAAAACTAACAACAAAAATTTAATTACACATCTCTCTCTCTCACATATATGATATATATAAATACACACAACTGTATAAATAACTAGACAAACATTGTTATACATAACTCCAAAATATAATAAAGATTGCTTTAATTTTATTCAGTCATGACTATATCGGTCATACACATGCAGCTGCCCATGCAGTCACATACTATGTATATGTTTAATGTTTTGAGCATACTGACTAATTATTCTTAGTATTAATTAATTTCATTTTTTTAATAACAGAGAATTAAAGACTGTATAAAGTTTTGCAATCTCATCACCAATATGTTAGGCAGTTAGGGTAATGGGACGTGAAACGTGAGCTTAGTTAGTTTGTTAACTAGTAGCCATGAGAGCAGTGGTTTTCCCGGTGCCGATGGAGTTAGTTGACGGAGGGGAAACCGGCCGCCACCGCCGCAGAGAAGGAAGGAAAAGGTGATTCGGCGACATCTTTTTCTGGGGGGTCGCATAAGCTGCATGGTTCTGCTCACTAACGGTGACGGCGTTGGATGACGGTGGGGAAACCGGCCGCCACTGCCGCAAAGAAGGAAGCGTGAGGTGGTTTGACATCTTTCTCTGCGGCACCGTGCCTATGTAGTTCTGTTCGGTAACGGTGCCGATTGAGTTGTGGGCTGGGTTGGATGAAGGTGGGTAACCTTCCGCCATTGTCGTAGAGACAGACGCAAAAGATTATCTTTATTTCCCGGCAACCCGGTAGCCGCAAAGCTCTGTTCGCTCACCGTGCCAACGGAGTTGTGGGCGGGGTTGGTTTTCGGAGGTGTAACTGGCCGCCATTGCAGGGCAGGTTTGATGCTTAGTAAGAGAAGAAAAGAAACAAAAGCTAAGACAATTCCAATACTAGGTTTATGTCCCATTGTCTCTTAGCTTCTTGTTTTCTGGTTGAAAAGAATTACAATAAAGATGAGAATTACATCTTGAGTCTTAATTATTATTATTATTATTATATATATATATATATATATATATATATATTATATTATATATATAATATAATATTAGGGAAGTTGAGTTATATTGAATTAAGGAAACAAATTTCCTTGTTTGTTGTGTCGGCTAAAGGAGAAAAGGAAACCAAGTTCCTTTGTTTTTGCTTTCATTCAACATATATATATATATATATATATATATATATATATATATATATATAAACATTGGGCAGAGGGCAAAAAAACCGACGGTGACAAAAGTGTGCCGCGAAACCTTTCTCTTCATCTTTCAATATTCTGTTCGGCAGACAGAGAGACGAGAAGAGTGGTGAGGTTTGCCAACTTCTTGAGTATTTTCTTCATCAAATATTTTGGAGGTTAGCTTATTTGTTCCAGGCATCTTTTGGGTATTCTCGTATTATTTGTATTCTTTTCATCTTGCTTGTGGTGGTTGAATATTTTAAGTATGAGTTGGTATTCTGTTTAGGCCTGTGGAATATAATAGAAGTCGTTTGCCTAGAGTTATTGTATTTGATGATTTGTGGATGTTTGGCTCGTGTGGTAGTCTGAAACTTTGTATCCAAGATTTATTATAGTGGATTATTTGGTTGGTGGTGGTCCCGTGGTTTTTTCCCCGATTTGGGGTTTTCCACGTAAATCGTGTGTTCTTGTGTTTGATATTTATTTTTGGCTATTGTGTATCATCTTGTGTTTGTGCTCCTGTCGGTTCTGTGATTTTTCATTGTCGCAGGAAGTGGGATTTTTCCAACAAAGTGGTATCAGAGCACTGGTTGTTGATGGGGTACATTTGACATGGAGACAAATATGAGTAATATGGTACGATTGAATGGTAGAAATTATCACATTTGGAAGGCCAAGATGAAGGATCTTTTGTTTGTGAAGAAATTACATCTACCTGTGTTTGCAACTGCAAAGCCAGAAAGCATGTCAGACGAAGAGTGGGACTTTGAGCACCAACAAGTTTGTGGTTATATTCGCCAATGGGTTGAAGATAATGTTATGAATCACATTATCAACGAGACACATGCCAGAAGCCTGTGGGATAAACTTGAGACCATGTATGCTTCCAAGACAGGCAATAACAAATTGTTTTTGCTAAAACAATTGATGAATCTAAGATTCAGGGAAGGTACGTTGATCAATGATCATGTCAATGATTTTCAGGGTGTTCTTGATCAGTTGTCTAGCATGGGCATCAAATTTGAGGATGAGGTACTTGGTCTCTGGTTGCTTAACACTCTACCTGATTCTTGGGAAACACTTCGGGTTTCTTTGACCAATTCTGCTCCCAACGGTGTTGTGACCATGGAGTATGTCAAGAGTGGTATCTTGAATGAAGAGTCAAGAAGAAGATCTCAAAACACCTCCACTTCTTAGTCAGATATTTTGGTTACAAATGATAGGGGGAGAAACAAACAAAGGGGTCAGAAGGGTAGAGATAAAAGCAGAAGTAAGTCAAGGTCTTGGCACAAGGATGTTGAATGTTATCATTGTGGCAAGAAGGGTCACATCAAGAAAAATTGCTTCAAGTTGAAAAGGGACCAGAAGCAAGACAAGAAAGATGATCACACAGAGAACCAGGTTGCAATGGTTAGAGCAGATTTGCTTCTTGCTTGTGATGAGAACGCCGTCAACGTTGCATGCCATGAGACAACTTGGATTGTAGATTCAGGCGCATCTTACCATGTTACACCAAGGAAGGAATTCTTTACTTCATATACTCCAGGTGACTTTGGAGAGCTAAGAATGGGAGATGATGGTCAGGTGAAGGTGATTGGTACCAGTACAGTTTGTCTTGAGACCAGCAATGACACAAAGTTGGAACTTAAGAATGTAAAGCATGCACCGGGTATCAGACTGAATCTCATTTCTACAGGAAAACTCGATGATGATGGTTTCTGTTGTTTCTTTGATGATGGACATTGGAAAATCACTAAAGGCTCGCTGGTTATTGCCCGAGGTAACAAGTCTTCTAACTTGTACTCTTTACAAAGCTCTATTTCTGGTGATTCAGTGAATGTTGCAGCAAAAGAATGTGCATCAGAATTGTGGCATAAACGACTTGGCCACATGAGTGTGAAGGGGATTGATTACCTTGCCAAGAAGAAGAAGCTTTCAGGAGTAAAGGAAGCTAGATTGGACAGATGTGTTCATTGCCTGGCAGGGAAACAGAAAAGAGTTTCTTTTAT